GTTACCGGTCAGTAAAAAAGACAAAAAGAAAAAAAAAAGATCCCCTTACCGGTCATCTTTTTTTTAAAAAAAGAATGTATATTTCTAATAAATTCCAAAGTGATGCTGATGCTGCTGGCCCAGGAACCACACCTGGGAACCACTGCTCCAGGTTGATTAAAAATACATCCATTTCAGGGGAATAACTTTCTAAGCATGCATGCAAAGGAGAAAACTGATTTGACTACCCCCAAATTTAAGAAATTCTATGGTTGATTTCTTAAAAATAATTTAAAAAGAAAAAGAAAAACTTGGAAAAAACATTTGCAACATATAGCTGAAGGGTTTATATCCTAAATTTATTCAGCAAAAAAAACTTTTACAAATCAAGGGGGAAAAAGCCATTTACAAATAGGCAACAACAAACATACATCTATCCAACTTGCCCGTCTTCCCTTCCTGGGACTGCCCACAGTAGCTAAGAAACTCCTCTCAAGCAAGCCTTGGCCCATTTGCTCCTAGAGTGCACCAAGAGTCAGGAAGTTTGTTCAAAAGCCTTGCAAGCCATTTGAACTTGTTACTAAAACTATATCATTTACTGAACTGTTATTATGTAAACTGATAACATGTGAGGTGAAAATAAAGTATCACTATCTATGAAAACTTGGCCAAACGCTTTGGAGAGCTTCAAAGACAAGTAGCTAAAAAAAAAAAAAAGGTTTTGGTACAATAAAGTATAGCAAATATGCTAGAAAAATACAATAAAATGAGAAAGATACAGTACTCAGATTCTTTGAAAATGTAAGTTTTGCTGAACCTTAAAGAAAGTGAAAGTAGAAACTGGAAATTCAATGCTACAGGTGTGCTTAAGGAAGAAAAGACCACACCAAAATTCAAGTAGCAGACTCACATTCAAAGACCTGGCCCAGCCCTGAAAGCTTGGCATATGTGAACCAAATGTTAAAAGAAAATGTTTACGTTAGATACATAGCTATTTTTTTTTTAAAAAAAAGGTCCTGCTTAAATCACCTTCTATTAAACAACGAATCCTAATCCCATTTGATTAAAATGATTTAAATGTTGATAGTCGTGAAACATTCATTCCCCTCTTAACTACAGTGGTCCAGAGTGCAGGCTCTGGAGTAGCTGCTGGGTTCAAATCCTGGCTCTGCCACTTACTTGCCGTGGGATCCTTAACAAGTCACTTACTGACGTGGTCTGCATGACCAGAGGTAAGCCCAGGATAGGAACAGTTCTACCCGAGGGCACTGGGGTGACTGAATGACCTAAGACTACAGACATAAGCTAATTAGAATCACGGTTGGCTCATGCTATATGGTTACTACTGCTGTTTGTTACTGGAATTTACTCTAAAGACAGAATCAGAGAGGTAAAAAAGTTTTACAGATAAGGATACTAAAAACATTATTTGTAAGTATTGATTCCCAATAACAGAAATTAAACAACATAAATGCTCAACAGGCAATTTGATGAATTACAGTATATCTGCATAAAATAATACTCTAGAGCCATTAAATATCATCTTGAAAAATAGGTAAGGATATAAGAAAATGTTCACAATGTATTATGTGCAAAAAGCAGGTTACTAAACAGCTCACACATTTCCCTACTATTTTTTTAAAACACGTGCATAAAAAATAGACTGGAAGAAAACATCCAAAAATTGTTAAACACCGTTATTCCTGCTGCTCAGATTACAGGTCTATACTACGGTACTTCTTATTTTTCTGCAGTTAATGTGTACTACCATAAAAAAATTTTACCATAAAAAAATAATTCCTCTTAAGAAATGAAATGGCAAAGAATAGTTTCTATGTAGACACTTACTCAACGAAAAACACCTGTCCATTCCCATCGGTTTCTTGTTCCCATCCGTATGGCAAATCTGAAACATAGGAAAGACAGGTCTTTGTGTGGTGGGGTGAACTAAAGCTCCATCCTCCAGGCAGAAAGGAGGGGCACCATGTCCTCCCAGCCCGTCCCCTAAGCCTATCCCTCCTAACCAACAACTGTCGCTTCAAGTTGCTTTGGTCACATGTTCCAACAGTAGCAGTTGCAGAAAGCCCATTACCCCAACTGAACTCCACCTTTCTACCTCTTACTTTAAAGAAAACCCTATGTCATTCTTGGTCATTTTTAAATGCTCAATTCAGCTCCTATTATTGCCATGACCTTACTGTTTGCTTCAATCAATGTGAATTCTCCTTGAATGAGCTTACAGAAATATCTCTGTATGTACAGTGGCACCCAGCATCACCTGCATGCTAATCTGTGCTGCCCCCTATGATAGTACTGAGTAGTTCCCTCTTTCTTCGTGTGTACATGCTGTCTCTTCAACTAGACCCAAAATTTCTTAAAGGCGGGGAGCTTCTTATACTTCTATTCTGTGGACAGCACACTTGCTCAAACAACTCATGACACTATGCTCATGACAGATGCTCATGACACTCGAAGTCATGGCATCTTTACGGAATTTCACAAAATGCTGATGTATTTAATCCCATGGTATAAACCAAGAGCAATTTTACAAACAGTGCAACTATAGGAAAACGTAATAAATTGTGAGGCAAAGGCTCTAATTATTCTAACACTTCTTTGTTTAAGACCAGTAAGAAATCATCCTCACTCCATCCAAGGACTCATCACCTCCTTCTGCCAAATCACATAAAGTCCTCAGAGTAAGAGTCCAATTCCTTGATAGCTCTCTACCAGAAAGCCTTCTCAGAATGACACTATGACCTATCACCTCTCTGCCTGTGACATTTGTCCTATCTAATTAATGCTTCAAATACAAGATTCTTTGCCTTATGACAACAACATACAAACCTCCTGCTACTCGTTTTCTTTTTCCAGTTTTCGGATGTTCCCATTGAGTCTTCTCCTCGGTGTGACTGTTTAAAAAAACCCACAGTACAGTAATAAGTAAAAGTTCACACTTCTAAAAAGTAATCAATTGTGTTCAATTTCTTCTCTCTCAGATAATACCCTCTCTCAAGAGTCGTAAAAACAGATATTCAGAGAAGAAATATGCAAAACACACATTTTACTGTTTGCATCAAGTCAAATTCCTCAGATTGAAAGGAAAAGCAATCTTGTGGAAATTTCCTAAAAACGTGCCTCTGTAAGAAGAGGAAAAGGACTGGGACCCCAGCTGTGGGGTCAACTTTAGCAAGCTCACACAATCACTCAAAATATCTTGACCTTTCGTCAATTTATTCAAGCTGTTCACCTCCATTTCCTCATCTGCAAAATGGAAATAATCCTGGTACTGGTACTCATCTCAGGGGACTGCCATGAGGATACTGTATATAAAGGGTTTTGCATAGTACCTGACATATAAAAAGCCCTCGAAAATGCTAGCTATTATCTTGAACACATCAGTTACACAAACTAGTCTGATTTCTGTGCCAAACTTACCATTTTATCACAGGACACCAAAGTTATAATAAAAATAGTGGGCTAATAACTAGAAACACCTGCCACCAAGGTAAGCTGGATTTCCTAAAGTTCACATACTCATGCCAAAATAGAAAACAGTATTATTTAATCACTGATATCTAGACGATTAAATTTGAATACTCCCTATCAATTATTTTAAAGAAAATAAATATAGAGAGCATAAATCTTCCATAAAATTTCAAAAGCCACAAGCAAGGTCTTTTCACGAACTGCTAGCTTCTGGTCTGTTTTTTACAAACTTTTGGCAGCAGAGTCTCCATCACTGTGCAGGGACATCAGATCAGTAGACAGAATACCTGAGTCCCCTGTACCAGTGGCATTCAGCCAGCAAGTCTCCCTGGCACTATACCCACCTCACAGAGTTGCTGGCAAGCTGAGACCCACGATACCTGTGATAGTGCTTGGAGAATGATTAAATCATTGTACATGTGTACAGTATCAGCAGTAAAGACAAACTCCTACTTTGTACATCAACCACCACCTAATCCTACTTGCGAAAAGGGAGGCTCTGACTCACTGGTAAGGACGACGCGGGAACAGCAGCATGCCCACACCTGCTCATCCCTGCATGCTGCCAGGAGCAGCGGCCACGGGACCCGAACACCCGTCACAGGGCACGCCTCCCCGCACTTACTCTGCCGGCCTCATGCTTCCTTAAGGAAGGTAATACACCCAGCTCATCTCCCTCAGCCTGGCATTAAAATTAGCCTTCATCCCACGGGCACCCCTCAAATGAGTGTGGAGCCTGGCTCCAAAAGAATCTGCCCTCAAGAGCCCACAAAGTAGCTGCTAGGAGTGGCATGCTGACCTTAAAAAGGGCATCCCGGGCCTGCTCAGGCAGGACCTGGGCCTGGCTGGCCCCCAGCAGGTGCACATGTGAAAGTGTGGGGAATGCACTCGTGCTTTCCAGCAGCACTAGCAATGCGCTCAGAACGTCTTATCTATCCTGAAAGATTCCGCAAAATAAAACAAGCTTCATCACCCCACATTCTTGACTCTGACGACAAATGCCTAAGCCAGGGTTTCTTACGCTGAGTGAGGCTGACACTGTTGTCAGACATCGCCAAACACCCCTACAGGACACAATCGTCCCCAGGGGAGAACCCTGGGCCTAACTGAAGTGCAGAGAGTGGTATTTAGTAGTGGAGACCCTGGAGCCGGATTGCCCAAGTTTTCTGGTTCCCCCACTCACCAGCTATGTGCCCTTGGAGAAGCTGTTCAACCTCCCTGTGCCTCAGTTTCCTCATTTATAAAATGGGGAGATAATAATAGCACCTACTTCTTGGGGTTAGAGAAGACTGAATGAATTATGTGAAAAACTACAAGCAGTCTTCAAAAAGTTGACGGAAAGACTCATTATCTTTTAATTCTATTTTTCTGTGATCTTTTCAAAGTATCCTCGTAAGACTGTGCCTTTAAAAAGAAGTATTACTTTAAATACTTAAACATAGAATTAATTAAAAGATGTTCTTTTTTATTGTAACCTTAAATGACTTTTTAATGAAGAGAAAATTACAACACATGTCCCCAGTGTTATCTTATTCTCCCTTAAATAGAAGCCCTCTTATTTTTTCTTTGAATAAGCTTTTTGTCACTTAAAGAGATAATTAACAGTGATCTAAACTTAAACCAAAGGGATCAAAATGAAATTTATACCACATTACATGAATACTACTTCCAAGTATACTCTTCCAAGGTCTTGGAGTTTTTCTTAAAGCACTGTTTAAGTTAGCATGGAGATCTAGTGCCGACTGTTAGAAGAGGAAACTGTCCCCTGACAGGGCAAGGCCACCATCCCTCTGGTTGCCAAGAGGCCTGGGTTTCAGAGGAAAAGGGCCCCCAGGGGAGGAAGACCCAGGATGGCCCTAGTGGCTGCAGGGACAGCTCCTGACACTAAGACAACTCCCCCCTCAGCTCCCATGATGGGGCTGCTCTGGGACTGTTGTGGGGGGATGCGGGGGAGAGACCTGCCTGTTCTCTCTGTCCTTGGTGACAGAACGTCCCAGAGCACCCCCTACAACCTCTCCCTGGGAGCCCAGCATGATGGGTTTTGGAGCCACATGACATGAGAGCATTTGAGGTCTATGAGTGCACCGTGGGACACAAGGGAAAGTGTGAGAGTCCACAGCACCCACACAGCAGAATAGGGGTAAAGCTACAAAAGGGGGGTTCCACAAGACCCTGAGGTCTGAACCACCGTGGGACACAAGGGAAAGTGTGAGAGTCCACAGCACCCACACAGCAGAATAGGGGTAAGGCTACAAAAGGGGGGTTCCACAAGACCCTGAGGTCTGAACGAGAGCTACAGCTTCTGTCCTTGGCTGTGGCCCTCCTGCAGTGGGAGGAAAACCATTTGGAAAAAGGGACATCTCGAAGGGCAGTCCCCTGAGAGCCCATGTTGCTCCCAGAGTCAGGAGAGATCAAGAGGAGCTGCTGGCATCAGGGTTAAGGCTCAGTAAGAGGTATCCTGCAGTCCCAAGAGCCAAAGAACAGAGGGCCAGCAGGGCTGGACAGAGTCCAGCTGGGAGTCGGCCAAGCCCTGTCACTGCAGTCGGTGTAATCAGTGGGACCAGACAAGCCAGTTTGAAACCTAAAGCACTAGTGGGGCGGGGAGGGGGAGGGATAAAGGAAGGGCTTTTGGAAACCACACATGCACCACTGAGTCCCCTAGGCCACCCAGGAAGGAAGCAGATGGGGAAGGCCAAGCAACACAAAGTCAGGGGCAGGGGCGAACAGCAGGAGGAGTAGGAGCAAGGGAGCCCGCAGGGCAAACCTGAAGGGAAGCAGGGAGCCTTGGGGGCAAGTGGCCAAATGAGCAAAAGCCCCAAAGAGCAGTAACGGGAGGGCACAGAAAGCCAGGAAGCAGGTCGTATGTGTGGGGGTATATTCCCAAGCCTGGTAAACCACCTGCCCACAGAGGCCTACAGGTAACCTTCGCTGAATGAATTAATGTACCCATTCCACATGTACTTATTTTTACAGCTCCTGGGTGCTAAACCCTGGAGATAAAGAGGCAAACAAGAGGTCCCTGCCTCATGAAGTTTACGATCTGGGGAGGGAGACAGTCAGCAAGCACAGCAGCATATTATAACCACAGATAACACTGAGCAGCAAGGAGATAAACAAGATGATGGGTACAGGGGTCTGGGGCACCCGTAGTCAGGGAAGGTCTCCTGGGCAGCAACACCCCAGCTCAGCTCTCAGGGATGAAAAGGGGCCCTTCACGCACAGATCCCCAGGCGGAAGGAACATCAAATGCCTGTTCAGGAGCTTGCCTGGACCCCTGCTGCAGTCTAATGGCTTCTCGCTGCTGGAATTGTCCCTTTAATTCTCCAGAGCCGAAATCCTTTCTACAGACACAAACCTAATGCCACTCCCTGGCTCCAAACCTTCAGAAGACCCCTGGGCCTGCCAACAGAGCACAAGCTCCTCCATAAACTGGGCCCTTCCTCCTCCGCCTCAATCCTCACATTCCTGCACTACCACACATATCACAGGGCCTGGGACTTGCCATAACTAGGGTCTCTACTCTCACTGCTCCTCTGCCAGGGCCACCCTCCTGCCCCCTTGACCGCCTACTTCCACTCCTGCCCTAAGACACAGCTCAGGTGCCAACTCTCCCAGTCCACCTACCTAAGGCGCCCCCCCAACCCCCAGCCCCAGCTACCCACACACCTCTGCTAGACATGCTGCTGCTCAGTTCTCACACTGCACTGGGGTAATCTTACTACATGTACTCTGCCCTGTAAGATTGCACGCTCATTATGGATGACACTCGGGCCTTATTTATCTTGGTATAACCAATTCCTAGCAAAGGGCATTGCACACAAGATCTCTGTGTAAAGATCGTGAATAAATAAGCTCACCAAGATTTTGGCTTTTTTGTTTTGTTTTTCTGTTTTCCTTTCTACCTGGCCCCCAAAGACAGCAATGGTTTACGGCACTGGGAACGTTAGAACCACCTGGGAAGATTTTACAACCTACCAATAGGGGAAAGGGAGGGCCCAAACCAATCAGATCAGAATCTCTGAAAGTGGGAAATCAGGAAAAGATAGTTTTTAAAGTTTTCCAGGTACTGAAAATCACTGATTTACATGCATGTTACTATAAGCCAGGTTATAATCCACTTCACCTGGAAAGCTCAAAAAATACAGATTCCCCAAGGTAGGAGTCTGGTGCAGTAGGTCCTCTTTGGAGACCCAAAATCTGTACTTAGGACACTCCACAGGTGATTCTAATAACAGACTTAAGAAGCACTGTGACAGCTGCAGAGACAGCGGAAATGACTGACAATTATCGCTCACAGAGTATTTATTAAACCCTGAGCTAAATGCTTTATGCACAGTGCCTCAACTAACCCTCTTATCAACCCATTTTACAGATGAGAAAACCGAGGCCAAGTGTTCTTTCAATGGCCCAAGGTCACAGAATGATGGAGGAAGGCTCTGCAAGGGTTTCCAAAACTTGCCCGGGAAAACACAGTGAAACTATCTAGGCCATTTGTTAAAAATATATTCTCCTAGGCCTCCAACCCAACCCCCTGAGGCGGGAGCTGACTATCTGCATTTCCTTCAATTTCTTTATCTTTGTGGGGTAAGCCCGGTTTGCCATTACTCAACCGTGCAGCGCTGCCTCCTGAACAGCAGAGGGCGCTCCTGGACGCTGCCAGGTGACCCCGCTTGGCCCAGGGCCCACGAAGGGGGCCGGGCCGCTCCAAGGAGGGAAGGAGAGGGGGGTGGGGGGGAAACCCTCGAACGTTCCACCTGAAGCTCCTTAACAATCACGTCCACTTCGCACCGCCCTTGCCAAGCAGGAGCGCGGGGTCCGCGCCCAAGGCCTACCGCATGCCCCCTCCCCGCAAAGGTGGCGCTCGAGGCAGCGCAGGGTCCCAGGCACGTGAGGCCGTCAGGGTTCCAGGTGTGTCCCCGTCCAGGTGAGTCCTAGGCCCGGCAGCCCCCCGTGCGGCCCCCTTACTTAGCGTAGTAAACCCAGCCGTCCTTGGTGGTTCTCTCCTCCCAGCCCGGGGGCAGTTCGTCCTCGCTGTCCGTGTCGTCCAGGCCCGCGTAGCGCAGGGCTGCCATGGTGGACAGAGGAGGCGCTCGGTCGTTGGGTCACCCGCTCGCCGGCTACAGGGTCTCCTCGCCCGCTTCAACCGAGTGCCGCGCGCCTCCGGGCCCGACCACTCGCGCCTGCGCACTGCGCCCGGCTTGAGCAGCTCGGCCGACTCCGTAACTGAAATTCAGTCTCCGGAGTTTTGCAGCTGCCAGCGTAAAAGGGGCGGATACTGAAGAGAACGACGCCAGGGAAGCTGCCCTGCCACTCGGTTGTAAGTAAAAGCTGGAGAACATTGTTCTCTGGACATGGAGCCAGGCTTCGTCACGTGCGCATCCAGTCACGGTTCGGGACTCCGCCCGTTGCTGGGCGACCCGTAATCACTTCCGCGTTGCTCTGACCAATCCGGCAGGAGCCCCAGCAATTAGGCATCCTGGGAAATGTAGTCCGAAATTCAACCGAACTAGAAAGTGAGGCCCGAGGAAGGATCGAGTAGGTTGTGCCCTGGGCTCCCTCCTCTCCTTGTGTTAGGGCCTTTGCTTAAACATGTTTCAGGGCTTGTCATCAACCCGGCTGATTGACAAACTTTGTTGTGCATATAAACACAACATTACGTGTTGCTTTGTGTTGCTTTGCCCCCCACGGATTTGTCACCCCACTTCCCCTGGGTGACAGAGATGAAAGGATTACTCAAAGCCCATCTCTACTGAGCAGTGAGAGGCCCCGAAGTGGTTAATCTCCCGCAGGAACCCTCAAGAGAGAAGGATCCCTTCCTTGGGAAATAAATGCCAAATTGGAGTTCTCTTCCTGCATTTATTTTCCAGACCAGGAAGTTACAGGAAGAGAACAAAGGTGGGGTTATAGTTTAACAGTATAGGCTGGTATATACTTTCAGTGAAACAAGCCAGATGACATTCCAATAAGGCGGTTAAGGGGTCCTAACAACAACTGATCTTAGCAAACATTCCTTCCTATAGCAATTCTCAGTATCTTTACATAACAACCAGTAACTAGTCTGTCTCTGAGCCAGCAACCTGCTGTGCCACAATCCTTATCTTGCAACAGAGACTTATACCCTGAGGGAAATTTCCAGTTCTCCGCAAGGTCAATATTTGAAACTGCAAGGCTTTGGAAAACCAGGCCCTGCGAAGTACATATGCTTTATAGTATATTCCACATCTCCCCCGTTTTATTTATTTAAAAGGAAGAGCAAAAGCTATAGATCAGGTTGGAATAGTTAAGACAAAAAGCATTTTGTTAAAGCAAAGTTAGTATCAATTAGCATGGCAAGTCCTTTTAATTTACTTCAGGTGAGGACTGATGATGTCATCGTCTCAGGGTGACTGCAGCGGCATCACTCCAAGTGCTGTGAATTGGGTGTAATTCGCAATTGTTGAAACTCCAGGAAAGGGATTCTGCTCCATGTAATAGTTGATTCTGAGTTCAGGGAATTTGTTAATGTTAATACTGTCCATTACATTACTGTTTCCAAAGCATCTAGTCTGTTGTAAAATTCTTGATCAATTACAAGCCTTTTGCTTAAGAATAGGATGTCTCATCCAAGTTACAAACACCCAGAGAACTGCTTTGGTAGAGAAGGCGTTATTTCCCCCTTTATGATCAAGGCATTCCTCATAAAAGCATTGATGATCAATATCTAGATTGAAAAGGTCTTACTTTGCATTGCATAAATCTCTCGGTGTTGGGAAGGCTCTTTCCCAGGTGGTGATTGAAAGAAGTATCTCAGCTCACTTTCTTTCAGTGATCTGACCCACGTTGTTGGGAAGACTGTTTCCCAGGTTGTGTTTTGTCCCATGTCAGGGGGAAAGCTGAACAGCAGGGTGAAGTAGCACCAGGCCAAATTTACGGCAACATAAAAAAGGGGTCAGCAACATGGAAATGAGACATGCTATCTTATATCCAAGGTTTTAAATTATATCCTGTTATAAAGAGAGAGTTAATTTTCATTGAGCTTATAAAAATAGCCATATTGCCATAATAATCATAAGAATACTTAAAGTTATTAAATTTTGGGGGGATGAAATAAGGAGAAAACAAATGCTTTTATCTTTGTTTTAAATGACATTTTACCAAACTGTTGTTAGTTATAGATAGCTGAAGAGAGAGAGAGGTTTTTTTTTTTGTTTGTTTGTTTTTACATTTGGAAAAACATTAAGAGAACCAGCAGTGTTTTAAAATAAGGAAATTGTAAAAACCCATAAATTTTAAAAATTAATTTACCAATTAACTTTTGTTGTTTTGACCTTTGCGAACAATTTCATAAACCCATCAGTTTCTTCATTAGAATTTTGGAACTTCAGTTTAAAGCTATGAACTCAAAGTTAGTCAGAAACTGTACCTCAGAGTTTTTTCATGAAATATTTGAAGATATAACATTTTAAAATTATAATTAAACCAAGATTATGACCGGTAGCATTTATATAAAGACACAGATATTTAAGAACCTTACAAGATTTTGGAACACATATGCTTAACACCTTCAGTACTGACAATGCTTTCCCATATAGTCTAATTTATTAAATAAGCCAATTAGTTTTGATACATCTTTTATATATCCTTTGAGAAATCCAGGGCCCTTGGAATTCCTCAAAGTTATTTTAAAGTTTCAGAATTTAGTGTTGGAAAGCTGTGTTAAATAACAAAAAGGCTTAAAACATTTAGTTGAATAAAATCACAAATTATTACAAAAAGTAAAACCAAAGTGACAGAGGGCTTCAAAGGCAGAGAGCACAAGAACTTATCATGAAATAAGTTTTTTAAACCAGTTATCTGAGGGACAAAGAAAACCTTTTACAATTTTGTAATAAGAGCAGTTAAGTGGAAAGACCTTTAGTAATCCTGTTTGATTAGTAAACCCAGGCAACAATGTGTGTTGATAAGAACATTTTTATACATTCAGGTTAGTAAATAGGCATCCATTTATCAGAACAAATTACATAAAGCCCAGTTTTAGTTCTAGCTATATTTACCAAATACATATTTATGGTTTCCCAGCCAAAAACTTGGTGTATTAGACTTATACCCTTATCAGTTAATGTTAACTAGGGCCTATGTGATATTTGCCATAGGTTTCTTTTCACTAGCCATTTCAGGTCCCAGGTTTCCATGTGGCATTTGGAGCCAAGTGGAATCCAGAGAGGCAGAGGGCAGTATTCACTATCTATATCTAAAAGATATTGCTTCTCCCAGCATGGCCAGGAGGTAGAGCTGAGATAACAAAGAGACATATTGACCTAGAGACAAATTTAGGTAAAAGGTTTGAATCAAATTTTGAAAATATATTTATCAAAACTTTAGAAGATTTAAGTCACGTGAACTTGAAAAGTATACTTATTTACCTAATGAGCTTGCATTCATTATAAGCCAATTTGGTACCTTGCACATAAAACAATTACACAAACAGACATGAACATAGAGACATAACATACAGCTTACACACGCATATATGCAGACATAAACAACAAGAACAAGCAAGGATCTTATAGGTTTTGTTCAAGATGTAAAAAAAAAAAAAAGCTCACTAGTAAAAAGTCAGGTTTAGATTGTGTTTTTTCAAAAAGACATTGGTGAGGCTTCACCTTGCCTTAAAGAAAGCAAGATAACAAATCTACATTGTAAAGCAAAGTATACAAGCCTTTTCAAGAAGAGGCAGAGAAGATTTTCTTCCTTTAAGAAGATAGCATGGAGTTTTACCATAGAATTTTGTGAAGAAATACATAGATGAGACTAGAAGAGAATTTAGAAGTCTGTTTAAGATAACCACGTGGATGCCAGAAAATTTGAGACCATCTAGTTAAACAGGCAGATCTTAGTCTAGCTTTTGTTTCTCAAACGGTTTACTGAGCTCAAGAGCTGAGCCACCAATCAGAGATGAAACCATTTGACTCTTGAGGTTTTTAGGAGAAGAGCAGGAGACCCAAAAGGGGTCTGGTTGGCGCCATGGTTGCTTTTCTTCATAAAACTCCAGAGTCTTCAGAGAAAAAGAGTAGCACATGCAGTTAAGAAAAGAACCACCGCTTTTAAGAGAGTAGAGAAGCACTGTGCAGATAAGAAAGAAAAACATGCTCAAATAATACCAACACTGTAAAGAAATATTAACTTCTTTTACTTTAGATTGTCCAATTTAAAGTTCTCTCAGTCACTGAAAAAGATTAAGTTTTATCCTTTTTTGGTGACATAAATATGTCTTAGTTTTTGTTAAGGTCTTGGATAGGTCTCAGAGTGACTCAACATAGATTCCTAGCTGCTAGGTGGGAAGCCTTAATGAGACCCATTGCATAATTAACCAGTGATCAATTTGTTCCCACATTTTTATGTTAAGGCTCCCTTCCTTGAGGTATCAAGGACATGGTTGTTTAATATCCACTAACAGTTCTACAAGCTGCCATTCACTTACTTACAACCTGCTGCTTTAAGGAGACATTAGAGTTGTATGTTCAGTCTCTCCTTTTGTTAGCAAATTATCCATATTTTAAAAGTAAAGAAAATGAAAAAATATCTCCGGGGTTGAAAAGGCCTAACTTTGACCTGCCACAGGCATGCAGTCACTAATGGAAAGCCACCTGTGATTCTCTTACCAAGATGCGTTTCGTCTCCCTTATTAGGGACTCGCTTATTAGGGATGAATCGTCGGACGTCCTATTCCTCTCTAATGCTTGACACATCAGTCCCCCATCCGTGGAGAACATCCTCACACGGAGCACCAATTACATAACGTGGAAAACTAAAAAATGTTAATTCCTGCACCTCCTGGGTTACTAATCTTGGAGAAAATTCTTCCACTCACAGCATGGTTCTGTTGATCATGGCAACTAACATTGATGGAGAGCTTAACGTGGGGCCCTGGCCAAAAATGCATTGATTATCTCTCTCATGTACCTGAAGCTTTTGTGATGCGGGCACAACTCAAAAAGGGTAGCACGGTTAGAAGAAAGCAGAGCCCAGGAATTCCTGGCATTTGAGACCCCATTTATTTGTTTACCAATTTACTCCCGAGTAAACTGACAGAGCACAATATCTTATGCTTCTATCACTAGCACTTAATAAAATGCCTAGAACTACAAGTTTATTAAACGAATGAATGCATGTGATTCCTTAGATTTTGCCCTCTATGAATCAACCTAATTT